TCATCTCTTTAAGGAGCAGGACAGAAGGAGCACGCTGGCCTTGAGTGTGTCCTTGCTGGCCCGTGAGGCCTCATGGACTGCAGCTGCTGCAGAAACCTAGAGCAGCCCCGAGGCTTCTGATGGGAGGAGGCTGTTTGCCCCAGGACTGGAAAACCACATCGGAGTGCCCGGCTCCCTCGGTCTGAATGAGTTCTGTGTGAGCTGAGGTTAACCCTGGGCTTTGCAATGTGAGTTTCTGGGATTTTCACATGCCTGATGCTCTGCTTGGCATTCTGCAGGCGACTGTTTTCTCTGAGTTGACGTAAATGATTGGAAGGAGCCATCCATTTTCCCAGAGGCGATGAGCACCGTGAGCTGACAGCTCAGGGATGTTGCAGTATCTCGTCTCTGACGGCCTTGTGCAGTGCATGCCAATGCCAGCGCAGCCTCCCTGCCCCTGCCTGGGCAGTGCTGACCTTGTGCTTGTGCACTGACTCCTCAGATCACATTCTGATGGAAGGCGTTGGTTTTCTGCTGTCTCTTCTCTCTCCCTGTGCTCCACTGCCTCGTACAGCAGTTGTTCCCTCGTGTTGGTGGCCAAGGGACCAGAGCCTGTCCCTGGGGAAGCCTCAGTCCTGGCAGTGGCTCCTTCATCCAGCTACAGGTGTGCAGCAGCGCTGGGCTCCAGGGTTGACTCCCCATTGCCTGTCTTAGAAAGATGTTTGGACACATAAAATGGAGGTGCCTGGAGCGGCGTGGTGGGTTGGTGGGGAGCCAGCTCACGGCAGCAGAGCCTTGGGGTGCACAGGGCAGTGGGGAAAAGGTGAGTTGAGCTGGGATGGGGGACTTGGCAGTCCCCAAAGGTGGACTTGGCACTGAAGGCAAGTGATGCTGTGACTCTGAGCAAAGGGAAATGGCTTCTGCTGTCATACTCATAGCCAGGAAGTTTAAAATATTATAATGTTTTATTGCAGTATTGGCCCATTGAGAAGTAGTTGCAAAGAGGCGATGAATGAGCAGGTTGTGAAAGGACATCCTGTTGAAACAGGACAGTTCCAGTAACATGAGGGACAAAGTGCTCCATCCCATGCACAGCATTATCTGCAGTGCTGTTTGCATGGGGCTGTTTACCCGCCCGATGGCACAGGGTACGGAGAGGTGCGCTTCATGTTTGTCGTTCTGTGTATTGAGGGGTCAGAGCTTTGCCAGCCTGGCCGTAGCACGCTACCTTGACGACAGCGGCCACGTGTGTATTTACTGATGGACGTGCTGAATGCCCGGGCCCCTCACTGGCCTTGCCCCCATCAGATAGGAGACTGTCCAAGGGCCCTCACCCCAGGGTAGGGGATGGATGCCCTCTGAGACGGGCTGACCTGTTGTAGGACACGTTTTTTTCTCTTCTAGTCAAAATGTGGTTCGTCTTCTAGAAGTCTGGTTTGGGGGAAGCAGCACCACGTAAGACCTCACAGAGCAGCCCCCGTGGTGGTTTTCCCCAAGGGTGGGGCAGCGGATGGGTGGTGAAGGGGCTGTTGTGTGTGGCAGGAGGAGGTGCCCAGGTGAGGATGACGGTGCCAGCCCTGCTGGAAGCCAGGTCTCTGGAACAGCGCCGTCCCTGTGCCCGCCTGCTCTTGAGCCCGGCTCTGCCCCCGAGCCCATTTCACAAGATGGCCCATGGTGGGACGGTGCGGGGAGGGTGGAGCCCGTTAAACTTGTTTCACCACTGCAGGCATGGTAGGATTTCTCCACCGCTGCTTTTAGCTGGGTGATGTTTATGGGACTGCTGCCAGGAGAGGGTCGATCTCTTGGCAGCAGCGAGCCAGCAGAGAGGTCTGTGCTGCTGCTGAGGCTGCAGAGAACTGTCATGAGCTGGCAGTTGGTATTTTTGCCTCCCTGATTTGTAGGAGCCTGCTGATCTTTGATTCTTTTTACTTTATATTGTCCATTTCCCCACCTCTGAAAGCTGTCTTGGCTTGCAGGGAAGGACACCAGGTCCCCTTATGAGGGTAGGAACAGGGCGCACAGCGCCCAGGGGGCAGGCAGGATTGCCTGCTGTGCCTGTAGCGTGTGCTCCATGTCAGCTGCTCAGCTCACCCTGTACACTTGAACCTTCTGCAAGTGGGCTGGGTGCTCTCCCAACGAGATGTGGTAGGAAACACGGGGAAACAGCCTCCTTTGGTGCTCTGGAGAGGAGCTGGAAGCTCTTTGTGCCTTCCCACTGCCCTGAGCTGCTCGGTGGGCCGGAGAGGCAAGTTTCAGGCATGGGTCCTGTGAGAGCTCTGCTGCTTTGCTTCCAGCCAGGCCCTTAGGAATAATTTCCTTTGTCCTGAAAGGGACTGAAGTTAAAAGGAGCTTTTTGTATGGAAATTAGGTGCTTGTGTATCTGCATGTGAAATTACTGGAGAGCCTGAAATTGCTCTCCAGGTGCTCGCTTCGCATCAGAGCTGCACAGAGACCTGCTGTTCTGTCCACGGGAGCGAGATGCCTTTGCAGGCTCAGTCACTTGCAGGAGTGGCAGAGGGCCAGTGCCACCTCCTGCCCCTCTCTGGTGCTCGATGGGGCACTTGTCTCTGGGTATGGGTTTGCAGAGTGTGGCAGTGCCAGCCCTGCCTTGGTTTGTTTTGGCCCCCGGAGCTCTTCTTGTCTTCCCCATCAGGTCAGCACCCTCCTGTCCTGTGTGCCAGAGCCAGGGTCCCCGGGACAGGCTGCTCAGGGCTTGTGAGCAGAAAAAAAAAAATTGGGGCTGTTGGCTGAGTCTGCACGCACCGATGCCGTCACGCGCTGCACAAGCACCGCAGGGCAGAACCCTCCCGCTGTCCCCAAAAACCCTCTCCTTCATGCCAGCTCTCCCCAGCTGTACCCAGGGGCTGCGGCTGTGCCCTCCAGGCAGCCTTGCTGGCCCCTCTGCAAAGGAGAGCTAAACTTTTTCTGGGAAAACCATGGTATGTGGCTGGCAAACAGATATTTCCTTCCCTGCTGGGCCTCCTGGGTCAGGATCGCTGGCAGGCAGGGCTCGCTGCGAGCAGGGAGTCGTCCCCAGTGCCGGGAGCGGGATCCTCATGCCAGAGGCACCTTCTCTGGGGCTGGG